CCCCCCCCCCCCCCCACACACACACACACACTTCCATTCGCTCTAATAATCAATGAAAAAAATATCCTTGGGTGAGGATTAACAAACAAACAAACAAACAAACAAATAAATAAATAAGGATCTTAATAAAGCACACATAAGGATCTTAGTAAGTTCTCTTGATTAGTCCCTGGCTACCTTGCCTGGATACTCCCAACAGTTTAACTACTCTAGTCTCACCTCTCCCCTGCCCTAGGAAGACACACACACATATACTCACACTCACTCTACTGAGACTCACTTATGTGCCTTTGCTCACACTTGGTATAACCCCTACCTACTAACATGTTCTCCCCTGGATAATTCTTTCTGTCGTGTCACCTCTTCCAGGAAGCTCCATGATTCCTTTTGTTTCTGTCCCAACTGAGCAGGGATAAGTGCTCTTCTTGCTGTTTCCATTTCTGTTACGGGAACTCACCCATATTACATTGTAATTGGCCATACACTTGACTGGCCCCACACTAAACTGTGAACTCTACAAGAGCAAGGACTGTATCATTCTTTTCTGTGTCCCAAGTTCCTAAATTTTTGGTTACTACTGAATGACCTTGTGCTCTGGGGACCCTGTACATACCTTGTCACGACGGGATGGCAGAAGGTGTGCCTTGGTGCAGGCATGGTTCCTGTCAGAGCTGGAGATGGTGGAAGGGAAGGGAGAGGGATGAGAACTCTGAATTCCAGGGTCGGCGCAGAATAGAATAGGACTGCCTGGTTTAAAAATCCCCCTGCCCGGATGGGATGTTGTCAAACCCTCACTCTCTCCCCTTACAGGCTCATCTTTCCCCCAGGACAACGGGCATCTCCCTTGAAGCCTCACTCACCAAGTGTCGGTGCCTTGGGTCTTGGTGAAGACTTCTGGAAGTAGAGGCCCCAGTCAGAGAAAGGACTATCCCTCAGTACATGGCCACCAACAGATGGGCTAGGGAGGAGGCTGCGGGGATTCCTAGCTAGCAGTGAGGAGTGGGTACTGGTTAGTGGGGGGCGTCTGGCTGTGAGATGGGGGAGATAGGGGAGATGGGCAGATTCCTGGAGAAGTCGGCTATGGTTGGGAAGGAGTCAGGAACTGGAACTAGAGTTATCGGAGGATCTCTGGACACAGCGGTCCGGACACGGGGGAATCACCGTGTTTGTATATCTGAGTCTCTTGGTCTTGTGTCTGTTTTTCCTTGCTGGGCACAGGGTTCACGTGGTAGCCAGCAACAAACAAGGCCTCATCGGTGAGTTCTGTGCTGATCTGGGCCAGGAACTCCTCAGAACGGGATAATGAAGGCTTCTGGTGAAGGGAAAGTCGGGGCTCAGCCTGGGAGTTCCTGCAGACGGGGCCCTGCAAGGAGTTGAAGGGCTGGGCCCTGAGATGTGGCCCAGAAGGCCCTGTAAGTGGGGGCCTAGTGCTGGGGGTAGAGTCTCTTAGGGGGAGTCTGGGTGCCCTGGCCAGACTCTACTTGGGCTCGCCCCCACCTCTAGAGCCCCCTCCAATGCTCACCGAACCTCCATTCAAGGACGCTGCAGCCTGGGACAGCCCGCTCCCCTTCCTCTCCTTACTCCTGGTGGGACTGGCTTCCATCCCCCTGGGGACAGTTGGAATCTGTGCTGAGAAACCAGCCCACTTCCTCCACACCCTTCCCACTCCATTCATTCCCCAGGCCCAGGCTTAAACCAGGTCTTTAGATACAGAACCATCCTGTCTCCGTAGTTCTCTGGGGAGGAAGGGGGAAGTAAAAAAATAAAATAAAATAAAAACCGTCGCCTTAAATCTCCCAGGGTGGGAAGTTCCACAATAATCCCCTCCCCCCGGTCGCCGGGGCCTCTCTTTCCTTCCCACCCACAGCCCTTCCCTGGGATCCAAGGCCGCCGACCGGCCGCCCCCGACCTGGCAGACGGGCTGAATCTTGGGCTACCGGGCAGGAGGGAGGCGGGGGAGGTTCGGGGCCCCGGTGACAGGCCGCTGGGGACGGGGAGGTGGAGCGGGGAGGAAGGCCGAGGTGGGAAAGAGGGGACCCGGCGGCGGCGCCGCTGCCCGTCCCTATAAAACCCTCGGTGTTTGCGGGGTTCCGCGGCCCCGTTGCCAGGCGATGAGGGATTCCAGAACCAAAGGCCGGGAGGGGCGGGGGGAGCATTTTCCCGGCGAGTGGCACGCGCTGCTCCGGCTTCTCCTCCACCCCCGGCAGGTCCCTGCTGCGGGGAGGTACCCCCAGCGCCGGAGGCTGGAGAAGTGGGCGCCGCACTTCGGGCGGAGCCTGCGACCTATTCCTCCCACCACTAGGGGCACGCGAGCGGCAGCCCCGCCCCGGTCCGCCCTCCAGCCTCTCTAGCCGCCGCCGCGCAGCCCGAGCCCGCGAGCGCCCAGGAGGCCGGGAGAGGGGCGGGGAGAGGACGCCGCGGACTGTACTACATCACCTCGCCCCCGGGGACGCGGGGACGCGGGAGGACGGAGTTTCCCCTCCTCGTCTTTGTCTCCAGGGAGTCACACCCGCCTCCGAAAGCAAAGTACGGATATTCATCGAGGCCTCTCCTCTCCGGACCTCCCCTTCTCCCTCCGTCCCTTCCTTCCCCCCCTCCCTCTGTGCCTTGGTACGAGCCGATGGAAAGGGGCGGAGGGAGGAAAAGGAAAAGGAAGCGGGCAGGTCTTAAAGGGGCCGCAGCCATTTTTCAAGGCCTCCTTTTTCTTTCTCCAATTTTGGAAGTACGCGCGCAGAAGAGTAGATTCTCGGAAGCTGAGCACCACTGGAGCAGGAGGGACCGCAGCTGGAGACTGCGGCGCCTGCGGGGCGGGCGGAGGCGGGGGTCCGCCCATCGGAAGGGCGGGGTGTGCGCGCCCCCTGCGCCCCGCTCACAGCTGGGGCGGCCCCGGCTCCCGCGGGCTGCGAGCTTTCACATCTGGGGCCGGGCGCGGGCAGCGGGGTGTGGCGCGCGGCGGGGCTGAGATCCTCTCTGGGTGAACAGCTGGCACCCCCGGATCGGCCCGGGGCGGCAAGGGGGCCGCCGCGATGCCAAGCGAAAATATCTTCCTGTTTGTGCCTAACCTAATTGGTGAGTGCTGCCCACGGCGCCGGGCCGGAGCGCAGGGAGAGGGGCCTTGGGCAGCCCTCCTGATCCCGCCCCATCCGTCTCCCCCATCCCATCCCAAGGTTATGCCCGGATCGTCTTCGCCATCATTTCTTTCTACTTCATGCCCTGCTGTCCCCTCACGGCCTCCTCCTTCTACCTGCTGAGCGGACTCCTGGACGCTTTCGATGGATACGCTGCGCGAATCCTTAATCAAGGTGACAGACAGCTCCTCCCAGCCAACCTTGAGGCACGACAACCCGCGGCTCCCTTTTCCTGCCTCCTGGGGACCTGAGGGTGGGCAGGTGCCCTGGGATCCGAGGACGCTGTCATTCTCATCTCTGTGGAGCAGAACTGCATGGCCTGGTTTTGCAGAAGGGGTTTAAGCGAGCTGTCGGGGAGAACCCACTGATAGGGAGGGGGTGTCACAGCAAGACTGGGTGGGCAGTGAAGTGCTGGAGGTCTTTGAGTTAATGTCCTCCAACAGGTGTGTCCTGGATGCTACTGTGCCAGGCACAGCGATCCCGGTTCCAGAAGGCCTGCTAGAGGGAGGGTGGAGGGGCAAGGGAGGTGGCATCTGGAGGGCTGAGTCTCTGCCCCAGGCCCACCTCCAAGACTTCCCCTAGGACTTCTAGTCTCCTTGTCTTGACACCTGGACCCTTGGTTCTGGGATTGATGAGTTACCTGTAAACTTGCTTTTTCACCCCCACCCCGCCCCCCACCTCCACTCTCTCTCCACACTCCCAAGCCTCCTCATTTCATGTCATGGTGGCCTTTGTCCGTTGACCTCGCACCCCGTGGGGCAGCCTGCTTTCCCCCCCAGGCAGTGGATGGTGGACATTCTTCATCTTCTTTTAGACTTTGCATCAGAGCGATGCACACCTATGGCCCCTGTTGTCGATCTGCTGCCCCCTAAACAGTTTCCTCCCAACTGACAGCCCCCGTTTTTCAGGGACCCGGTTTGGGGCCATGCTGGACATGCTGACCGACCGCTGCGCCACCATGTGCCTGCTGGTCAACCTGGCCCTGCTCTACCCTCGTGCCACCCTGCTCTTCCAGCTCAGCATGAGCCTGGATGTGGCCAGCCACTGGCTGCACCTCCACAGGTCTGCAGGTCTGGGGGTGCTGGCCTGCTGAAGGGAGGGGTGAGACGGCCGGGGAGGGTGTCTGGGGTGGCTTCAGGCTTCTGAGAGGTCTCCTTTTCAGCTTGCTTTGAACAACCATGGGCAGGTCCTCTCTGGCAGCAATCCCTAAAACGCTTCTGACTGGATAGTCAAGGCTTCCAAATAGCTAACAGCTCCTAGGAACGGGAACGGGGGCTTTTGAATGTGGCATTTGAATGCTGGCTCTGTCCCCAACTAGGTAATTGTGTGGCTTTGGGCCAAACAGTGGTGCTCAGCTGGGCTCCAGGTCCTCCTGGGTACAACAGAGGCAATCCCAGCACCTTCCTCGTGGAGGCTGTGAAGAGGATTAGGTGGGTGTCAGCGGTAATGAACGCTCATGGATTCCTCTGCTTTCTCCCCAAGTTCTGTGGTCCGGGGCAGCGAAAGTCACAAGATGATCGACCTGTCGGGAAACCGGGTGCTTCGTATCTACTACACCTCCCGGGTGAGCATTTCCTACCCCCTCACTTACTCAAACCCTGGGCGGTGCCCTGGTCCCAGGGGAGGGGAGCCCTACAAGCTGAGGTGTGGGGGTGGGGAGGGCCTGGGAATCGTTCAGGCAGTAGATGGTTTTTGAAGAGAGAAGTAATATCCTGCGGTTACTCTGTTCCTCCCTGCCATCCACTCCCTTATTTCCCCAGTACACTTCCAGCTCCCCATCCTCACAGAGACTGGCCCCCCCGTTCCTGTGTGTGTTGGGGGTGGGGGGTGTTTGCACACTGCCCCGCCCTCTTGTTTAAGCAGCCCGTTTGCTGTTTGTGCAGCCTGCTCTGTTTACCCTGTGTGCTGGGAATGAACTCTTCTACTGCCTCCTCTACCTGTTCAGTTTCTCCGAGGGACCTTTAGGTACGAGATGAGGGGCAGGGCTGGGGGGCGGGGGTTCTGGCCAGCCCAGGGAGATGTGGGCCCTCCCCCTCGCCGTGTCCCGGGTTCTCAGCATTGCCCTGCTCCCTTCCCACAGTCGGCTCTGTGGGTCTTTTCCGAATGGGATTGTGGATCACCGCCCCTGTCGCCTTGCTGAAGTCCCTCATCAGCGTCATCCACCTGATCACGGCCGCCCGCAACATGGCTGCCCTGGATGCGGCCGACCGCGCCAAGAAGAAGTGACCTCGGAATCCAGCCCCTGCGGCCCACCTGCCCTGGGAGTCTCCTGTGTCACACGGCTCCCCTCTTCCTCCCAGGAGGTCCAGGCTCATGTCTTCCTAATGTGTTGTCCAACCCGCTGAAAGTGGGTCAGGCCAGTCCCACCCCTGGGCTCCAAATCAGGAAGGATGCTCAGGAGACCCCGCCCACACAGGCAGTGCTTCCGGGCACCAGAGGCTGGTCTGACGGCTGGGCATCGTTGCCCCTGCTGGCTTAGCCCTGGGGTCTGGCTTGGCCCGAGACTGGAGGGACATTTGTGTGAGGGAGATGGGTAAGGGCGGGGTTCCCGAACTCTGCCCCTGGCCAGAGGAAGCCTGCAGGTCCTGTGGCCGGGCACAGGGAGCCGTCTGGGTCCTTCCCCATGGCAGCGTCCTCTGTCCCGTCGGTCCCAGCTCTGAGAACTTGGATAATAAAGGGGCTTCACTATCCTGGACCTGCTTCCCTGTGAAATACTCTAGGACTGGGGCCTGGGTGGGGGGAGCTGGGGGAAGAAGGAAGGTCCCTGGGCTGCTTCTCCCTCCGTGTGGACTGGCTAGGTCCTTCCTCTCATTCCACAGAGACCTCCCTGCCGCCCAAGGTCAGGCCATGTCCCCTTGCCCACCTGCTTCATCTCCTCTCCGACACTGTCCCGAGCTGTCTGCATTTATTTCTGTCCCTGGTGTTTTCTAGGCCCTAGAATGTAAACTCCACACGGGCACGGACTGTTCTTGCTCCTTCTCTATCTCCCCATGAAGATTAACCTTAACCGGGCCCATTGTAGCTGCTAAATAAATATTCACACGTGGACCAGTTGGTTTCTCAGTGAAGTCTTTAGACCACCTGTAGGGTATTTTTTTTTTCTTTTAATTCAGCTTCTAGGACATTGAACCAGAGTTGGAGTCTCTAGGGATGGGCCCAGAAGTCTGCAATTTTAATAATCTCCAGGTGATCAGTTCTTCCTGAGAAGGTCGAGAATCACTGTTCCTTCTTAAACGTTTTTTTGGGCACCTATTGGGTGGCAGACATTGTTCTGGGCATCTGTTCCAAGCAGCCATCTCTACCCTCTGAGCTTTCTCTGCTGTCTGGCACTGGCTTTTTTTTTTTTTTTTTTTTAACTATATTGAGCTTACCATATGCCGGATCCTGCGCCGGGGTTGTTTGCAGCTGTTACTCATTTTATTCTTATACTAGTGTAGCCAGGGGGCCCACATGTCCAGAGAGCTGAAACTCAGCAGGTGTGTGCTGACCCCTCTCAGAGGTCACAGGCCAGCGGGGGGACCTGGGCATGCGGTTAGGGGGGTGTTTGTTGGGGGATAGGAGTAGGCAGTGCTGTGAAGTAGGTGCTGGTGAAGGGTGTGGGCCATTTAGGAAGCTGGTCGGGTTTGGAGCCAGAAGAGAACGCAGAAGAGAGGGCTGGTTTTCAGCTGAGGACAGAGGACAGAGAGCTAGTTTCGGAAATGGAACCTGATGAGATCATGTTGCTGAAATGTGCTGGGGGTTGGGGGTGGAGAACTAGTGAGAGATTGGGGGGAGCCATCCGGCGGCCTGAGGAGCTCAGTAGGGCATTTGGACTATCCTAGGGCCACATGGAGCCATTGAAGGGATCTTTCAAAATAATAGGCAAAATATTACCAGGGGGAAAAATTAGGTTGCAGACTAAAAATAAAAGGATGATGAGCCCTGGCTGGTGTGTCTCAGTTGATTGGGCATCTCCCTGTGCACCAACAAAAGGTTGCTGGTGCCCTGACCAGTTTGGCTCAGTGGCTAGAGCGTCGACCTGTGGACTGAAGAGTCCCAGGTTCGATTCCGGTCAAGGGCATGTAGGTCAAGGGCATGTACCTTGGTTGCGGGCACATCCCCAGTAGGGGGTATGCCGGAGGCAGCTGATTGATGTTTCTCTCTCATTGATGTTTCTAACTCTATCCCTCTCCTTTCCTCT